ACCGAGCCTGGGGGTCTTCCTGGTCGTGGAGACTTTCGCAGGACTGGGATTGATTTCCGGGTGCCCCCCGAAGTGCATCTGCGCCTCGGACCTCCTGAGCTGCACAAAAGTCGGACTGACCGACGTGCCGGAGAACCTGCCGGCCGCGTCCAGCAGCGTGGACCTGAGCCACAACTCCATCGTGTCCCTGCGCGACGGCTGGCTGGCCGACGTCCCGCGCCTGCGCGTCCTGCGCATCGGCCGCAACCGGCTGAGGTCTCTGTCCCCCGGCGCCTTTCGCAACGCCACCCGGCTGAGGCACCTGGACCTGTCCTCCAACCGTCTCCGGACTGTGGGGGCGGAGCTTTTCCAGGCGCTCCTCAGCCTGGAGGAACTTCTCCTGTACAACAACCTCATCGCCAACGTCGAGGGGGCGGCCTTCGCCCGCCTGGCCAACATCCGCAAAATCTACCTGAGCTGGAACAACCTGACCAGCTTCGCCTTCGCCTCCATGCGGAACCTGACGCACCCCCACCTGCGCACCCTGGATCTCTCCGCCAACAAGTTCTCGGAGCTGCCGGTGGAGGAGGTGTCCTCGCTGCCCGCTTTCATCAAGAACGGCCTGTACTTGCACAACAACCCGCTCACCTGCAACTGCGCCCTGTACGCGCTGTTCAGCCGCTGGGAGCACCGGGGCTTCTCCTCCGTGCTGGAATTCGCCCGGGAGCACACCTGCCTGTACATGGGCCAGAGGCGAGCGGTCGTCCGCATCCTGCAGTCTCGGGGCGGGTTCGACAACTGCTCCGCGGGCCCGGGGCAACCGATCCCCGACCCGGGACTTAAAGTTCTCGTGGGGAAACGGCTCCTGGTGACTTGCAACACCAGCCTGCCGCGGGAAAACACCACCTTCCTCTGGATCTCGCCGGCCTACGACTTCATCTTTCCCCCGGGGAACGGCAACCGAAGCTTCAGGATCCACCCCAACGGCACTCTGGAGATTCACGGGGCCCAGCCGTGGAATTCGGGGGTCTACCTGTGCGTCGCGGTCAACAGGGGGCTCAGTCACAACGCCACGCACGAGGTCAACGTGACGGTGCATTTCCCCAAGCCCGGGGAGTCCTTCAACACCGGCCTCACCACCCTCCTGGGCTGCGTGGTCAGCCTCGTCCTGGTCTTCATCTACCTCTACATGACTCCCTGCCGCTGCTTCCGTTGCTGCCCGAAGCCCCCGCAGACCCCGAGCCCCCCGCAGGAGGGCAGCGCTCAGTCCTCCATCCTTTGCGGCACCCCTCCGGCCGCCGCCGACGGGGCCAGCAGCCGCAAGGCCGGGGCCAACAGCCGCCACGTGGTCTTCCTGGAGCCCATAAAAGAAGGACGCGCCGAGAAGAACCCCAAGATCCTGCAGCGGAGGACGGATTCCGATTCGCCAAGCTCGGTCTTCTCAGACTGTCCGATCGTCCAAACGTAAAACGCCGCCGCGGGCATTCGAGGACGCATTGCATGTCGGGTGTGCCAACCGCTGTCCAGGCATCTGCCCGAGGGTGAGGGCATGGAAGGGCATGGGAAACCTCCGTCTATTATTTGCTTG